GAGTTGGGGTGGAGGGTTCTTCGGACTTGGCGGTCGTTTTATCCTTTCCCATATGCAGTTTTACATTATCCAGTGAAGGCCATGGGCCGAGGGAAACAGACTGGTGATTGGAGTGAAGCAAAAATGGCGGTCTAATCCCTGTGCATCAAATTAGCCCGTGATTCCTACCTAATTGCGGAGGGACTGTCTTGGTTAAGTCGCCATCAACTCACATTGCCAATCTCCGAAGATTTGAATGCAACATTTCCGAATTTTTCACATCATTATTTGGACAGAAAGATTCCCCTCCCAATATACGATTTGCAAACCGTGCCTTTAAAATTACTATAGTAACTATCGGAACTGGACTAAAATATCAGCCGCCAGCTAGCTTCCCGCCGAGTAAACCTCGGGGATGAGTGAGTAACACCTGCTATGCCATATTAAGAACGCAATCATATACTTATTTTTTCTTTAAAAATACGAAACGTGGGGATTCCGACCTCAATGTAGGGGCTCTTTATCGGACCAAGACAGGGTGGGAGGAAGCGGAGCGACCTTTTCCAAGTGCTAATGCCCCACACCAGTCCTCGCACCCTTCGCATTACTGTCCCGATTATTTAGCCAAATCGAGGAGTGTGTAGTCAATTGGCGTGCAAAAGTATTATCCCATTACAATGTAATATACTAGTAGAGCTGCCGCCGATTGCCATGGTGTAACTGCCCGTTCATCTGCTGTGAGTCGAAGTGGTCTCCATAACCGACCCTTACTATCACACACATCCCCCTCGACAGCCTTTTCTACTCAGAATATAATTTTTATATTTCAAAATACCAAGCCGAAACATCCAAACTTTGTTTAATGCTAAATCCTTTAATATCCCAACTAAAAAATTGAACCATGGAACCGTGATGCGGTTAGTTAGCCTATCAATGAATCGCAGGTCATTTTTGGTTTGGGATAGGACAGGTATGGGTATATCTTCTAGCCGTATCAAATCTAATCGCACAGATATGCACCTCCCATATATTAAGTCTTTGGTTGTACTTTAATATTGTAAGACTATATCACGTATTCATTATCAAAACCATCATTAAGAGGTTCCTATCGCGCCACTATATCCACCTTCTACCAACAGCCATCAACCGGCTTCACACTAATGATGGGAGTTGTAGACTAGCTACTTGGAAATCAATGGCCATAGCGGGGCTCTCAGCATTGTTCACTCACATGTCCTTCTCCTCCGGTACTATTATAGTTGTTTCGTGAAGTTATTCCGATATCCTTAATTCGGAACGTGCCAAGAAGACCTCCTCTACCTATTGTCTCTTATAAGTCGGCTTCCCTCGTATAGGATGAAGAGGAGAGGATAGTGAACCATCCGTGAATTTGATTGGGGGCAATTTAAATGGTTGGGAGGCTGGGGTTGGCGGACAATTGGGGAGGTCGCATGATCCCCTTTCTAAAAAAAGCGAGTTATCTCCTGAAACGAGCCAGAGAGTCATACATTTCTTTATGAATGAAGGGTACATGTCTTCACAAACCCTTAATATGGCGCTTATCGAATTGTAGAAGGGCGTGAATACACCACTTTACGATGGGATGATAACTCGTCCGCCAAATCAACTCCATTCACCCCCACTTTGGACATGGCCGTCTAGTCAGCTAATCAGTATATATTTAAGCAGTTAGTCCGAGCGGCGCTTCAATGTGTGAGGAGTGCCGCCGATGGCCAATAGTAGGAGGGATACATGGAGGTTAGATAGATAATAAAAAATTTCTGATCGACTGAATCCACTGGACTTCAACGATGGAATAAGTGGCGCGTTGAACAACCAACCAGTCACTGGTCTTGTTCCCCTTCTTTATATTTTGGTAAATCATTACTGGCCCAGTGTGGCACTCGGGGGGCCAGTCACGGTGGTTATACCCACGAAACAATTAGGTGGTAAAGAGATTGGAGGAAGTCGCAGGGTATAAAGAGAGGGTTGCCAATAAAACTACCCTTTAGGTCACCTTGACCATCCCAACCCCATATGCTCTCCCTCTCAGCGGGCGCAACCCGTCGGGTGGTAAGTGTGATTGGGAATGTTCTCCGGTCCCCGAACTATTATAGAAAGGGGGGAGATATCCGTGATAAAAATGGGGGCTGAAAAGGATCTACAAATTCACAAAGCAACGCTGGCTTCAGCATAAGAAGAAAAATCCAAATGTATTACATTCGCCTATGTACTGCCGATAACGGCCGTCTTCCCGCCATTGCTACCGCTCGACTGCCCGGTGAAATAGCCAGGCGATTCGTCAAGGCTATATAATACTATAAGGAAACTGCGAATGATGGCTGGGCATGTGATCCATAAAAAAATAGATAGTTTAGGGTCATGTAATAGGGCCAGCGAGTTAACCAAAGTTCTACCACCACTGATGCAAAATCCAAGACATCACACTTCTATTGCGACTATATGTCCAATAGAAATCGGCGCTGTATAGCGCACCTAAGTATAAGATTGGTCTCTAGAATGTTTTTTCTGTTCTCGAGCCAAGCCCATGTGGACAAAGTAGTTGTACTTTCTGAATATCTCGCCCCAACGACTGGAGTGGCAGTTAATTACCGAATTCATGGTGTATTGGTGTACTAGAAAGACACTAACCTCTCATTTACGCAATTATGCGGGGGAAGAGGGAGGGGAGAGGAGGAATAATCGCACATTCAAAAGCCAAAGTCCAATCTGCCTCTCAGCGGCGAATGCGAACCTCTCCACATGAGACCTCAAGCGAGTTCCCCGTTGCCCAATTCAATATCATTATTCAATACAATGGGCTGAGGTACACGGGGTCGCTGGACAATGGAACCAGACAACCCAACTTGGATAGAGTTTCCTGTTTAATGCAGCCTACAATAATATTACGTCCATGGAAATACAAACACTACTATAGTCATCGGATAAACACGATGGTGTAGAAGTAGTATGTTAGTATTTCCCTCCAGTATTGAAGCAATACCAAAAAAAAGGAGAAGAAGAGGGAGGCTGTCTTTGGTGGATGAGGATTTAGCCGATGCCAGTGTCAGGTGGTCAGCAGCTGTGTCCATCTCTATTTTCGCGTTTATTTGCAAGCCCCAATGTGGTGCTCAGCCGCTTAAGGAATCAGTTTCTGTACAGTGAGAAGGCAGCGCAGGTGGCTATGGGCCAACCCAGGGCCGCCCTCCGCGATCCTCGAGTACCTGGCCTCGGTTGCCCTGATAGCTGAACAGCAGACTGTTCTGTTCGGATTAGAAAATAGTATGGGAGTGTCGAAACGCTAAACGTGGCTAAACCGCCGACTAGACGAGTTGCAATATCCACCGGTATACATAAGTATACAGAAGGTGGGCTTGGAAGGCTTATATGATACTAGCTTCAAACTATTGAGGTCTCCAGTATATTGAAGAATGGCTACACCTTTAGGTATGCGGCCCTGTACACCCACGCACCGTTTTCAAGTAAAGCATGTAGCTACCTATATTACCCCTAATTCGCGAAATGTACAAAGTAATGGCAGCCTTAAAAGGCGGAAAATTAGACCGGGCGTGTCCTGCGTTGCATTACCGTCAATTGCCATTCACCACCCTTGCCCTCTAAATAGACCTCACGAACTTTCAGCCGCCTCTTCTGTACCAACGAAGGTTTCCAAACGTGTGCTCCTCTTTCTTTCTATTTTTTTGTCTCGGCATCCGATGATCTGCTTATCCAGCCACGCACCCGTCGGTGGGTGCAATTTAGGTAAAATAGCCATCTCCCTCCGCCAGTTCTCACGACCAAATGGGTTCGCAGGCAGTTGGTCCGAAATAATTTATTTAGAATACCAGCCCGGCCATGTATTGTACTAAATACACGCGGTAGTCACCCTCCACCTCCCAAGCACACTAAATATCCACATTGGTTCTCTTCAAGCATTAGCGAGGGCCTCCGTAGCCGACTACGGGTGTGGTGGACCGTAAAGCCAAAAATATCCGCACCACACGGTGAGTAATCTTCCCCTCTCATTAACTGGGGTAGCACAAGATACTGGGGGTGGGGAATAGGAGGTGCAGTAAACCGGAATGAAATATAAAAAAAAGACATATGGTTAACGTGGCCAAGCAATTAAAGCAGCCAAGAGGCGGAAAAGGGGGGCAGGGTGGGGGTGTGAGTCCCGTGCCTTCAAGGGCCGCAGTGGCAAGCACCAGGCGTTGAATAAAACAATACCGGTGGGAGGGCGAGGCAACGGTTGAAGAGAGAGGGTCCCATCAGGGTTAAAGGGGACAGGCGCCATCATTGTGGTATAGTTCATTAAATCTATTGCCCCTGTCCTTTTGACATTGCGACCAATTACAGTGGATTGCAAACCAATACCACTTTATATTACCAACGGCGTGCGTTAGGTTGTCCGACATGATTTTACTGGAATACAGTACATATAATTACATCATGGGCTTACCAATATCCTGCCATATATATTATTTGAGGTGAACTTCTACGTTCTACTTACTATTCATTAGCCTACGCAGTTTATTGAAGTACAACCAAGCCCTTAGCTTGTATTATGGAGTATCTTTACGGGTACAGTCTAAATACCAATACAATATCAAATATCCATATCTCAATAACCAAAGCAGTATCGATTGGGGAATTTGGCCTGTAGACGATATTAAGTGGACAGAGCATCTGATACAGTAACTCCATAAAATTGTAGACCGCTATATAGGACAAGAGCCATTGCTAAGGTGCTTTAATGCATCTTATAAAGCATTTCCCAAAAATATAAAAGTATAACCATTACACCTATTTGGGTTACTTATTCGGGCGCAGTAAGAAACATATATATGAATATTTCGATGAAAGGAGCTACTAAGCTAATTATTTTATTGAATTGGTTCATTATCATAGCTTACGACCTCCCGCTAAAAATCGAGTGTGGCAAGTGGGGGAATGCTAACAAAACCAAAGCCATTAAAAATAAAACTCAATGGCACCATCCAAAAAAACTCCAAAAAATGGATCGTCAGCTGCAGGATTTGAACCTGCGCGGGGGAACCCCATTGGATAGCTTGCTCTGGCGAACCAGGCTATTCAAGTCCAACGCCTTAACCACTCGGCCAAACTGACGACTTGTTCCTCCGTAAAATATTTAACTTATATAGTACACCTAAATTAATCCCAGGCCTTCCTCACCGCCCACCAATCGTTTTCGCACCCCTTGACCTCACTAGATGACACGGGTAGACTGATGGAACTCTTTTGGGTGGAAAAACACCATTTTATTTACTTTACAAGGCACTTCGTAAAGACGCAGTAGGCCAAATTTAACCAATCAATGGCGAAGGGGGGGGGGGGGGGGTTGCAAATCCCTTGGGCGATTAATCACTACCCCACGGCTATTATTTTTTGTAGGAGCGGAGTTAAGATGTAATTATTAGGTTAGTCAGAGGTAAACGTACGATGGTAGTTTCTAGGTGTGGAGTGGAGCGGTGGCATCCAAATATGTATATATGGGCCTTTCCTTTATGAGGCACACTCACAATCCACCGCCTATTTCCAGGTTTGCTTCATCGATTTTCATTTTTCCCTAACTCACTAATAATAAAACAGAATTTCGAGATGAATCTAGAAAAGCCTTTACAGGTTATTTGGTGTATGCTATGAATAGGTAGGAGGTAGAAAGCCAACATTTAACCTAGACAATACACGCTTATTTTAAGATATTATTTATTTTAATATCAGACGGCAGTCACTGAGGTACCCTTAATGCCAAAAGGGTACACTAGAGCTACTCTATGCTCTTTTCGATATAATACACGGCTTGATATAGACTTCAGCTCTTATAGCTCACATTCACTATTGGAACTAAGTTCATAAGTTCTTTTAGCGGGATCGAACTCTACTATAGCACTTTTCACATGCCCATGGTCATACCCATCACTAAACCCGCCAACCCGGCCTATGACGTCTAAATTTTCGCGAATCAGTTCAGATTATAATAGTGTTTGCACTCCACCATTTATTTCAGTGACCGGTCTAGCGCCCATCATTATAAGTTACTTCATATCTGACGACTGTTGAACCTGTCATGCTTAATAATCTATAGGATTAAAGCCGACTAACTATGAAGGACTAGGCACCATCATCGCCTAGTTCTATCAATGAGGCGCGGGAATTTGGCCTTGTTGAAGGATCAGTGTCCTTCAGCTATTCCCGCCACTCGATTCACATATTCCACATATCACCTTCATTATATACCCGTCTATTATTAGTTATCATTTATATTACTATCTAGTAGCGTCTTCTAGCATCTTCTATGCTGGTTCGGCGCCTTTACCATTAGTCTGCTCGGCTATATAAAGCCGAGCCAATTCCTATAGTTATTCTTTGGTTAATTACCATTTATTCTATACCCCCTTTTATAGTTAACTCGATCTATTGGATATCCCCCTTATTAATATCTATAAAGCGCCCTTCGCATCAACTGCTTGTGTGTTATCTCTTGTAAACTCGTCCGAGGCGTAGCCCTTTAATCATATCTTAGATTATTGAGTACGACAGAACCTGTCTACCTATTCTAATTATGGATCCTAGAAATGATGGTGCTGAATCCAGCTGTAATATGTGTTTCCCGGCAAGGTACTTGTTCAATGGCGGTTCCTATCAACCAATACGAGCAATAGTCAAGCTCTAGATGAGACACTAATCCAACTAATCTGACGAAGGTAAGTTGTGGGAGAGTTTAGCCCCTTCAGTAAATAAAATGGGGTGAATAACTCCAATCTCACTAATGAATAAACACTGCCCTAGGGGGTGGGAAATGGCCCGGATCATTCCATAAGTCTTCCTCAGCTTACCATCGTGTACGGTTTTCGGTAGAAGGCTTCGATCATTAGCCAGTAGAAGGGATGTCTCAAGCGTTGATTGCCTCTAGTGATTTGATATAATGTGGGGCCAAGCCCCGAGACATTGATCAAAGTACCGTACCTCGCGAGCTCAGCACCCCACCAATAACTGCCCAGAGTTGAGTGTTGTGGGATAACTTTTAGCGGCTTACACACCCTTGGGGCACTTTTATTTCCGGAAACCATGATATGTATTCATAGTCTAAGATCTGCGGTCAGGCCCACCATCTTGGTCCCTCTTAGCTCTGCCAATCGATGCGGGACTATTTCCGCGAGTGTGACCTTTAGCTATGTAGAATATATCACGGCAATTTCACCGGCTACAGCATTAAAGCGCTGCTAGCTGGTTCATCGATATCTTACTATTACTTACCTCTTGGGTGTATTGGCGAATTCCGCAGATTGGTAGGCCACAGGGAGTGACGCCAAAACTAAAAATACGGAAATCACATTTCGCTACTTAGAACTATGTATATTACTAAGCAGGACTTCCAGAAATTGCTAGACAGGAGCAATGTACTTAAAACTGCGTTGAACAGCTATAATGCTGCCGAAAATAGGCGGGATATGTGCTCATGCTCGTCAGAGCAGGGTTTTCTGACCAATGTTTCAATCGTATAGTTGATTGTCACCTGCCTTAATCTGATTACCATTTTTAGTTTTTCGTGAGTTGTGTTTAATTGGTGTAATATGAAAGCTGCCCGATGCCTAATAGAACACACCAACATATATAATAAGCACCCAACCATGACCGGTTACAAGGAATCATGACACGTCGGCTGGGATGCTAACTGTACAGGACTTCAATGCGCTCGGACTAATTCGCAGTGCTATTTGGATTGGTGGATAACGGAAGAACGCAATGGGTTGAGCCCCGGCTACCTCATGAAAAAAAGCCGCCACCTCATCACTCTACAGGGCGGTCCCTTGTTCGAATAACTACAATATACTATTGCCAAGACAACTCGGTCTGGGCGACAGTTTACTTTTTAGAATAATATGCGTGTCGGGGATTTTTGGTTGATTTATAGAAAGCGTGCCAATACCGGCTGACTTGAATGAGTATCCAGCCCAATGAGTTGAAAACAATACCGCCAATCCCACGACCCCTTCAACAAACCCTAGTAATTAATATAAGGCCCGCACCAAGAACAATTGGCCTAATTGTCCTAGATGGTGATTATTGTCATAGAAATCCCTTGAAAGTCCACACCGCTTGAATGAAAGGGGGGAGAAGTGTGGTTTTATCACAGGGCTTCCTTCCTTTCTTTCTTGCCTTCCCTTCCGTCGTAAATTCCCACTATCTACGTCGCACAGTCTATAGCACATATGCCATGACCGAATCAACCCGATATTTCTTCCGCCAGGTTTGACCGATGATGCTGTAAGGGGTCAGTGAAACGAGGTACGGACTGAAAATATAACGACCAGCTCGAGTTTCCCTTTCGTCATGATTTAAGTCATACCAAATGGGCGCTAATCATGTTACAGGTTGTTATTTTTGAAAATAGGTTAGGGTTGAGTTGGCCATATGTGATTAATATTTATATTAGAGCACTCTGTCGGGAAATATGGCCTGATTAGATGGGGGATAACATGAATACCCCCACCCCCCTCATTGACCAATTCTCGTTTAATTTCCTAGTCTGTTTATACTTGGCCAAATTCGTTTGAAATGGCCTTAATAAGGGTGATGGGTAAGGGGGAGCGAAGCGGCATTGAAAGAGCATGGAAGGCATCGCGTCAGTGATTTATCAACACCCATACAGTCCAGCGGTGCTTGGATATACCCAAGTTTGCGAGGTGACTCCCCCCGCTTGCATATTCATAGTATGGCCTGAGACGGGGCGATTCCTTTCCAAGTTCTTGACCCTCCTTCATACCCCTGCCTCCACTAATTCATGATTCAAATAAAATAAAAAAATATGATGTTCATGAGGTCGGCTAAACCCAGCCTCTATAGCTGGGGAGATTGCCGCAAAATTACATCAATTGGGCTGCCCTTCGCACCTTTCCCATCCTTGCGGGTCCCCATAACTCCAGTGGCTCATTGTTGTTCATCAGTATTGGAAGAGTTGCCATTGTTCGACTTTGAATCAAATCGAAGGAAGAGGCCCACCACCTGTGGGTTGCAGGGTGCCGGAGGGAGGTGGGGATAGATTCACCCACTTAAACGCGTTAAATGAATCGTTCTCGGAATATTCCAATAGACCCCTCGCGTTGTTGGTTTGAAGGCAGGCATTGGAATCGTCAAGGCCGACCAAGCACGCTCAATGAAAATCAAGGAAAATAATAGGGGGGATGATAAGGCCGCTGTTGCCGAAAGGGACATGGGGGGAGGAGTTAAGAACAAGCCTCGGCTAATCGGTAAAGAGTACAGGGTCACACAATTTGGGAACAATAGAACTGCCTTCCTCTTCCCTTCTCTTGGCCACCCCTAACTTCCCTTGCCAAGTCCATCAATGGAAGAGAGGGAGGTGGTGAACAGGACAATACGAGGCCCCCATTGGATCCCTACTATGGCAATTATAACCGGACTGTGTTTTCTAAATGATGATGGCTGTCCCGCCAAGCCTTGCTGAGCGACTGCCTCAGTCACACTCAGCGTGGATGATGTCGTTGGGCTTCAACTAAAAAGGGGGGAGAGGAGAGTGAAGGATATACATCACCACTGAGAATAGAAGGGGGATGGCGCGGGTCTTAATGCAGCGGAGAAGGATACAACGGAAAACGGGGGAGGCTGGTCCCGCTTGTATTATAATATTGGAACAATCACTGGTCCCGAAGGACTGTATCGCTGGGGTCCATCCCCGATGTTATTATAAAAGCCTTCCCCTTCCCTCCCAATGACTGACTAACTATTTATCCCCCTCTGTTTACTTGTATCTTTATTTCCTGCGCTGTCTTTCGGCCAGACCTCTGGTCTTGTGTAAAAACTTATTTTCCATATCCAAGTACAATTCTTGCATTTATCCCTCCCTACCCTTTATTATCACAATCTTGATACCTTTTGACATCCGTCCATATACACCCACACCCTTCTCTGCTAAACCCCACCAAGGTTTTATAACCATGTTGCTTACTGCACACCCCTCCCTGCCGAACTGGCGGTCGGCCTCCACCCGCTTCTGGCTCTACATGGCCGCCGTCCTAGCCTGTCTCACTGCCGCCTGGGCCGACGACGGCAGTGGTGGCTCCAGCAAAATCCTCGCCCAGGATATC